TTTTTTTGGTGATTTACCAAAGCCAAAAAAGAAGGCACGTAGCAGTTATCCCATTAGCTCACACCTCTGCTCATAACCCTCGGTGCTCCGGCTGTTGGTTCCCGTGGCTCGGGTTGGCACAGTGCTGGCAGCAGGCAGGCTCCTGGCTGCATGCAGGCCGCTGCTGCCTGTGGGGGCCATGTGGTGCTGCTCAGCTGTTTTTGACCGAGTCTTTTGACGCTGGCTGGTCTAGGGGAGGAAAAGCACGAGTCTCCTCTTCCAGAGGCTGCCTGATGCCATCTGAGAGCAAGGAAGGAGGGAGAAGTGGCATGGGGCAGCGGGGCTCATGCCCATTAGGGCAGCGAGCGCAGGGCAGGACGGGCTCTGCTGGAACTGAAAAGTGTGGCATCGTGACCGGCAGTAACTGTAGGAGATCTCTTGGGAACGTGTGCTCACATCTGCTGCCAGAGCTTTTATGTCTCGTGCTGCCATAGTCCTCTATGCCAGCTGCGGTGGGCCCTGCTTTGTTTGCTCCATCTGGGGAGAGAACGTGTCATACCCCATTTCTCCTTTGCATTCCTGTGTTCTTTCAGCGGAGTATTCATGCCAGTTTATGGGGAAGGGCACTTTCTGAATAAGGTCCTGATGCTGTGTTGTTACAGTCGTGGGATCTTTCCTATTTACGACTCCAATGAAAGTGGGATCGAGCCCTGCAATCCTATTTACAGTGTCAGGTCTGGTTTTCTTCAGCGTAAACAGCCAGAGAGAGCAGTTTTAAGAGCCTTTTTATTTAAATATAGTTTATACTGAAGAAGATCTTTGACATGCAGGAGAGAATATCTTCTCCCTTCTCTCTTTCCCTCCTACAACTTCCATTTGCCTTGTCATCTACCCCTGGACATGACACTTACAGGAGAAATAAATGGTTCCATGATTCCAAGAGCAAAATATTTACTTCTCTAGTGCCTTAAAAACCTCTAGACAGCTCACCACAAGTGCTCCACTATTTTAATTGTGGATGTGAGACAAATCAGACAATGATCACAGCCACAGAAGACAGGGTAGAGTGTCTGAACTTGTTTTCCAGTGTGCTTAAAGTTATGTGGTGAATTTATGTTTCAAAAAGTTCTTCTCCAAAACCCTGAGCTGCTCGGGACTTCAGAGTGAGCTGAGTTCCCTCTTAAGATCTGCAGAATGTCGCATGTGGTCACGTTCTGTCCTGCACAAGGGGATGCTCTGCAGTGATAGCTAACATATCCAACATGTTTATTGTGCCACTCTTCAAAGAACACAAAGAAACATCTGGTGAATTCAAAGCATTTTGCAAGTAGCACAGGCTGAGCATCAGTCTAGTGAAACAGCTCTGTATATGCCCATTTTACTGAAAAATAAGGGATGAATAATAGAAATACTTTTCCAGAAGCCAAACAGAACTCCAGTGAAAGCACTGGCATCGTCCCTCAACCACTTGACCACATTCTGGCTTCAGTTCAGGGAGGCATTACTAATCAGGAAAAATGCTCACGAACTGGCTTAATTCGGAACTCGTGCTTAAGTTTCACTGAAACCAATTAGACTTAAGCATGTGCTTAAGTCCTGTCCAAAACTGGGTTCAGATTGAATGTAAGCAAAATGCGAAGTTGTGCAGTGATACACTGCTCCACCCCCAGTGGGTTATATTTAAGTTTTACAACTTTATAATATCATAAAATAAAATATATCTCTTCCCACAGAGTTGTTCTCTTGGGAATGCCTTATTGTGAGTGAATAGAAAGCACTGCTGACTTAATCTCCACACAAATGCAAAAGAAATTGATCTGCTCAATACAGACATCTTTGCTTTTGAAAAAATGCTTATTCCTTTAGTGGCTATCCCAAAATCCATTCTGCATGCTCTCAGAAGAGAAAAATGCTAAGGAAACACTGTTTTGCTCTGTTAATGAAGTCTGTGCGGATAAGTACAATTTACTTAAGCAGAATATATTGATAAGTTTCTTATCACCCATTTCATTCCAGTCTGAACATTCCTCAGAAAATATCAAAGGCTTTAGGTCATCTCTAAGTGAAGAAATCTGAAATTCTCCATGACTTCAGGCACTGATCTTATCCCTGTGAATGGGTGACTAACTGAAACATTAGATTTATAACTGGAAATAATAAATTCTGGCCATAGGAGGCAATAACATAACAGATTAAACAATCTAGCTCTGGAGAAGAGTTCATCTTCAGTAACTAATTTGGTGCAAACTCTAACGTATGCATTTTCTCCTCCATTTATAAAGGAATAGATGTGTGACTCAACTTTTTTCCAAAGTCAATCTGCATGGAGAAACACAAACAAGGTTTGTTTCCAACAGAGCATATTGCAGTATTTCTCTCCTGGATGGTATTTTTTTTCCTTCAAAATGGAGAAATGGATCTGAATCTGCAGCAAAGAGTACTTCTGTAGCACAGCTCCTGTGGCAGGTTCTCATTTCAGGCTTGGCCATTGCCTAGGAATCTTTCGTCCTAATTTTACCAAGAATTTACTTTGCGTAGGAATTTCCAGTTCTGCCTTTCTATCATTTGATGCTGTGGGTCTGATTTTTTCTAAGAGTTGCTTATACAAATGAGAGTATGGAATAGTTGATTAGTATTTGCTACTGCAGTTGTCTCAAGACTCGGTCCAGTTTTTGCTGGTTCCAGGGATCAGCCTGGCGTTCCTAATTGCCTGAGTACTTGTGCAGCCCTCTTGCCTGGAGACCTTGGGCCAGCGCTTTGGATGCAGCACGCACCAGAAAGCTGGAAAAAGATCCTGTTTTGTCTAGCTGCTGCACTGAGGAGCTCTCTGGAAACGCTTGTGGTTAATCAATACAGACAGACAGGATAACGAGAGAATGGAAGAGATCACAGTTGGAGATTTTTTTTAGATTTTCCTATGAATGAGTATTTTTGTCTTGAAGATGAATTGTCATTAATTCCTTCCCCCCCCCCCCCCCTCCTTGCCCAAGAACTCTATGAAGCAGTCAGCTTGTGTCTCTCTTAAGATGGAGACAGGAGCTGCGCTGATGTGCGCCCCCAGGGGCCGAGTAACAGAGTGACACATGAGTGACACATGAGTGACACATGAGTGACAGCCACTTTATGCTGCTCTTGGAATCAAAATGTGGCCTAACTACAGATTTTAGGTCTGGAATTGAACTTTTCCAAGTTGAAACACACTGTTTGGATCTGGTGGGGCTGGGCTGGAGTATTTGAGAGAGAAAAAAGCAGCCACAAAATTTGGATACAATCCAGTAGCTTTTGGTTTGAGGATGCATTCAGCTTGGAGTCTTGTGTACAGTTAAGTAAGATAAAATCCCAAGGAATTCCCATCATGTCAAATATTTACATTCTGGAGGTTTTTTTATTTTTACTTTTTCTCTCTCACTTTTTTTTTTCCCCCATGGAGTTTGATCCTGATTATAAAAATTCCCTTTCCTATTGAATGTGTCAAAATCTTGTGATCATGTTGCCACAGTGTCTGTGCTCTCAAATAATGCAGACTTTTCGTGTCTCTGCCAAAAGCAGCAGTAAGGGTTCAGTCAAACACTGAGGCTTCTGCCGCAATAAACACACACACAGCAGTTAGCAAGTTCAGCACGGGGCTGTATTCACTGCTGTTATTTCGGTATAACTATAGACTGCACTAACACCTCCAGAGCCCTTCTGTGGTTGTAAGCAGGAGCAAATTTGGCCCATATGATCTGTTACCTCTAAGCCAAATACAGCTATTTGTGTAGTTTACAGTTTTCTCTAAGATAATTATTTAATATGCTTTAAGTGTGGTTCACTCTGGACTGTCCTTTAACTGAAAGATCTCCAACAGCTTTGCCAGCAGTTAGGCCTGGTGCTAGGATGGGCAGCTGGAGCTTGGCTATTCTGCTGCTGAGTGAGAAAGCAGCAGGAGTGGGGCTCCTCAGAGCACAGCTCTGGCAGCAGTGGGTGAGAGAGCAGAACCACGGTGGTACCAGGCTGCAAACTTAACCAGCAGCCAGGGCTTTGTCATTCAGGTTTATCTTTTCATCTGAGGGCTCGCAGGAACTGATTTTTAGGAAGCACAATGCAGTGCAAGCAATTGAGAAGGAGCAGGCTATCCCTGCTCACCCTGTCAGGCCCTTTACAGATGATTAAAACAGAACAATTGCGAGTCTGCTCCAGGAAGACCCCTCAGCACCAATAAAGCATCTTTCCAGGCAGTTCCTGCACTGCAGCGCGCGGTGAGGTAACAGAACATCCGCAGTGCTTTCAGTGCCTTTGGGTTGGTCGGCTGCTTGTTAACGCTCCCCTGCTCGGCTGGGGCTTTGTGTGCCGTGCGCTTATTCCCTGTGGTCATTCCAGGGTCTGTGTGTTAACATCTGCACACATTTTGAAGGCGCTGTTCCTGCGATGTGTAAAACCTTCCCCCTGTAGAGAAGTGACTGAATTTGTGCATCAGTCTGAAGTTCCATGGCTGGCCGGGCTGCGGGACGGGCAGGAGTGGGGCAGGAACAGCAGCGGGGATGTGGCAGCTTTGCTGGGCCTTCGTTTCAAAGAGGCAAATCTCGCCTTCCTTCCTGAGGCAAACTCACCAGGAGGGCAGCGGGAGTTTGCCTAAGAGCGAATAACGCACAGGAATATGCATTTATGTGCGTGCAGGCAAAGGTCTGCAGCGTTTAACCGCGTGCTCACACATTCCCATAGCCAATAACATCCGCTGTTATGGGAAATGAGGTAAGTGACAGAAGTGCTGTCCTTATGGCGCGCGACAGGCGGGCCGCCGTTCCCATGCCGTAGTTCTGTATCGGTTTGCGCTGCCGCTGCGGCTTCGGAGAGAGCGGGAACAAAGGGCTGCGCCGACGGACCGAGCGATGGCTTCAGGTACTGGAGCTGGGAGCCGGCAACAGCGGGGGCTCCGCGCGTGTGTGTATCGTGTGTATGTGTGTGTATATGTGTGTGTGTGTGTACATGTGTGTGTGTGTACATGTGTGTGTACTGACCGCCTCCCCGCCTTCTCCCCGCAGTGCACGCGGTCGCGGAGCGCTCGCTGCGCTGGGAGCCGCGGTGCCGGCAGCAGCTCCGCCACCTGCAGGACGGCGCCAGGATCGAGGCGCGGCTCCCGCCCCGCCTGGAGGGCCATTGGGTCTCCACCGGGTAAGAAAGGCCCCGCGGGCAGCGGGAACCCCAGCCCACCCCGACCCGACCCCTCAGCCTCCCTCCTCCACTGGCCGCGGGGCAGAGCGGGCTCCACAGCCCCTCCGTCCCGTTTTCCCGGTGGGCACAAAGCACCACGTCGCACCCGGTGACCGCCACCGTCGCGTTTGGCAGCGGCTTTTAAAGAAGACCTCGAAATCTGCCCCTCCGGCCCCTCTGCCCCCTGTGCCCCGCGTTCCCCCCCGCCTCAGCCCCGCTCCCCACAAGGCGCCCGTTGCCGTACCGGCGCTCAGCGCTGCCTCTGTCCCCAGGTGTGAGGTGCGGCCGGGGCCGGAGTTCCTCACCCGCTCCTACCTTTTCTACGCCAACCGCCTCTTCAAGGCCTTCCAGTTCTACTACTGGGACCCGTCCTGCCGCGAGCCCTCCTACTCGCTGGTCATCAAGGGCAAGCTGCGGCTGCGCCAGGCCTCGTGGATCACCCGCGGGGCCACCGAGGCCGACTACCACCTGCACAAGGTGGGCATCGTTTTCCACAGCCAGAAGGCAATGCGGGAGGCGGCCTCCCGCATCGACCGAAGCTCGGGCGAGGGCTGCGGCGGTTTCCTGCCCCCGGGCCGCGCCTGGAGCCCCGGAGCGCTCTACGAACTGCTGAGCGCCAAAACCGAGCGGGACTGCACCGCGGCCCTGGGCTTCGCCATGCACGAGCTGAGCCTGCTGCGGGTGGAGACGCACCACCAGCCCCTGCCGGGGCCGCAGCAGAGCGGCAGCAGCCTGGTGGAGGAGCTGTACCTGGGAGACATCCATACGGACTGGCCGGAGCGGCTGCACTACCGCCCGACGGGCTACCAGCGTCCGCTGCAGAGTGCCGTGGTAAGTGCGGGCGCCCAGCCCGTGGGCTTCGCAAAGCGCTCCTTGGTTTTGTGCTGTGAAAATACCGACTGCCTGCACGTTGAGCCCCACAGACCCCAGGAGGAGATGGAGGTTCCCCCATCCCTTCCTGATTGCTGGAGTGGGATGGGCGAGCGCTCCGCAAGCACGAGCAATAAGGCTGCCTTGGCATGGGGCTGCAATTAATGGCTTTTCTTTGGCTCTGTGTTCTCCTCGGAAATGCAATTTCCCGGCTTCCTGCCCCACGGGCAGTGAAGGCTTCGGGCTGCACGCTGCTGCCCACTCTGCTGTTTGCCTTCCATCCCTCCCTGTTATGTCCTTCAGTTTCAGAGGAGCAAGGAAGCCAATGTCTGCCATTAAACTGCTGCTCCTCTGTGTAATGCCATTAGAGGAGGAAGTTGCTCTGAGAAATGCTATTACACTGAAACCAAGCGTTCTCTGTGACAGAAATAGAGCTGAACAGGAGCCCTGCTTGCTTCTTGTTTTGTTTCAGATGTTGCAGCAGGTTGCTTTATCTCCAGGAAAGCACGTTTTTGTCTGAATCATGTCTGATCCATTCAGAAATGACTGAGCAGTGAGATGGGGGGGGGGAAAACCTCTCTGCATTTTGCCAGATGGAACTGAGTTAACAAAAAAATCCTTTTGGGTGCAGATTGTGGGGGGCAGCATTTCCCCATGCCCCAGATGACAGCAGTTGAGCTTGGAAAAAGAAAACCACAGAGCAGCACCCCCCTTCCTCCAAAGTAACCTTCCCAAATTGGTTAAAACTGTGTTATCTTGGGCCAAACCCATATATATGAGCAAAACCAGATGGTAAATATAAACACTTCTAAAAGTTAATTTAAACCCAAACTTAAAGATACTGAAATCCACTCTCCGAGTACAGCACTGTAATTAATCAGCTCACAGCTCTCCAATGCACCCGCGCATGATGTCACCACTTGGCGGTCATTAGAAGCTGCCATACATTAAGAATTCTTCACATGGCAGTGAGAAGGCTGAGGGAGTGCGACAGTTGGCTTCGTGTCCACAGTGATCAGTTCATTGGGAACAGCTTTTATTTTTTCTTTTTTTTTTTGGTCACTGGACTCATATTCCTTTGCCTGTGCTAGTGAGAGCAGCAGAACTATGCTAGGAATTATTTTTTAACCCTCTTGATGAAAATATCACTCTTTTTCCCTTAAATTTATACTTCTTTTAAAGAAACCCATTCTCCCAAATTACCTTTCATTATCAAAGAATTTCCTGTCTGAGCAGAGCAGATACATTTGCCAACTTCTGGGATTATTTAGCCATAATGTACTGTGTACTGTCAGCACTCATTAATGTGACAGTAGCAGTAAAACAAACTGAAAATGACTAAATTACAGTAGGCTCCAATCAACTCACATGTAAATTACCCCCTCTCCAGTTAACTACTGAGTTATTTAACCTTGCTGCATGCAGTGGTTCAGCAAAGATTAGCTCGTGTTCTGGAAAACGATACAACATTCCAGCCCTGCTTAATGAAAAGTAAAGCAGTTGTGATGCACAGAGTGCCAGAAAGTGTTCCAGGCCGCCCCAAACCCTCTGGCGTTTGACAAAGGACGGCGGAGGCGCGGGGCTGCAGCAGCTCTTGGCCTTGTCCAGCTCCACTGCTGCGTGCGAAGCCTCAGCTCAGGACGGCACAGAGCTCCTCATCACACTTAACCTACCGGGGTGTCTTGGATTGAGTTTGTTGCAGTCGAACGTGCTGGTGTGGGAGTGGGAGTGTGGGGTTTTTAAATGTTGTGAGAAGGGTTTTTTTGGTCATATCGATTGACATGAAAATCTTCTGTCTCCTGCAGCACCACATGCATCCGTGCCCGGCCTGCGGCGCTATCTACAGAGCTGACGAGCACCACCCGCCCATCCTGCCTGCCCAGGTCGAGCTGCCCGTGCAGCTGAGCGGCAGCTGGGTGAGCACCCGCTGCGAGGTGCGCCCTGCCGTGCTCTTCCTCACTCGGTACTTCATCTTCCACGGCAGCAACCACACCTGGCAGGGCTACTACTACCACTACTCCGACCCGCTCTGCAAGCAGCCCACTTTCACCATTTACGCATCTGGGCATTACACCCAGGGCGTCCCCTCCTCCAAGGTGAAAGGGGGCACGGAGCTGGCTTTCAAAGTCACACAAGCACGGGTGACGCCCATGGATCAGGTGACGGTGATGATGCTGAACTCCTCCGAACCGGGGAGCTGCGGGCTCGCAAGCTCCTGGAGCGCCGGCGTGGAGCAGGATATAACGCCAACCAACGGCTGCTTGGCTTTGGGCATCAGGCTGCCCCACACAGAGTATGAGCTCTTCAGAACAGAGCACGATCCCAAGGAGCGCAGCCTGCTGTACGTTGGTGAGAGGCCCACGGATGGATCCAGCCCTGACCGCCCCGACAAGCGGCCCACGTCCTACCAGGCGCCCCTGGTTCAGTGCGCGGGTGCATCAGAGGAGTTCCCTAGCTACTATAGTCTGAAACATGTGGGGAAAGAGGGTGCTAACGGCAGTGAAGAACTGAAACCTTTGCCTGTGGCCCTCTTACTGTTGATAGCACTGCAGGTGCTAAGATGGGACTAGCTCTCTATTCAGGTACAGCACAGAACCCAGATAGTCTTGGTGCTAATATGATTTTTGTAACTTCCAACTGAGCACATCTGGAACCAGTTTTACTTAGACTTGGAAACACTTTAAAAGAAAAAAAAAGAAGGCAAAAAACAAAGAACGGTGAATGAAGCCAAGAAGATGTGCCTGACAACGTACTGCCTGATGGCTTTGTTGCCTCATCTCCCCTCGTCTTTGCATACCAATGTAATGTAGTGACATGGATGCACTGCACATTGCAATCAGTACTTCAGCAATGAGGGGAAAAAGAGCAACATCAGTTGCAACTGATGCTTTGAGCTTTTGGCACTGCTAAGATTTAATCAAGGGCTTAGTTCAGATGTAATTCAAACATCCAGAGTGTCAGCTGCTGAGTTTTTTTGGGGTTAAGCTCCCTCCGCCACAGTCCTTATTGCTGTTTGTGCAAATTTGATCTGCGGTGTCCATCAGCACCAGATACAGTGTCAGCAAGTGCTCTCACTAAGGACACAGCTAACGATGCCTCTCAGTTTATACATGTTTTCTGCAGTTTTCACATGTACATACATGTGGAGATGCAGAGCAGCAACCGCAGAGCATCACCTGAAAGAAAAGCTCCAGTAAATAGAAGAGGCTTCTGTGCACAGCGGTGCCAACTCCCAGCATTCTGTAGCTGCAGACATTGCATCCTTGCCGCACTATTTTGGCACTGCCAACTGCAGCTCCCACTCACAGGCAGTGAGCAAAGCAGAAGATCACTCAGGTCTTCTCAGGCTGTATGTTTTCACTGTCTCCTCTTCTAAGTGCATTGGCTGTTAATCCAGCTGTCGTATCAGTTGGACTGTCACTGCCAGCCCCGTTCACTTGAAGATGGTTTATAAATCTGCCTGCAGTGAACAATGCGCTGAGGAGACGAGTCTGAGCAGCACTGTCAGACTGTCCAGAGCTCTGCTGGCAAGAAGGAGAGAGTAAGAAATTACATTCCCTTTGCTGCAGCCAAGAAGCATATAACATACCTGGGGAAGACCTCTTCCCAGTAGCTAAATCCCCTCCAAATAAGCCTATATATCTTACAAAGGATATTTTTGTTAAACCATCTATGCAATAGCTACTTCTTAATGCTGTTTTTACAAACTTGCAGCTTGTACTTAAATAATTTATGGGTTTTATAGCATCAAAGTACTTTTTTGGGGGAACTGTACATTAATAATTCAGATGAGATGCTTATTAAATGCATACAGTTGTGACACAGATGTTGTCAGCATGTTCACATGTGCCAGGCCCACATAAGCAGCCACATCACTGATGTGCACAGTGGCCAAACTCGGCTCGTCTGCCTTCAGTGCCATCAGTGGAGGCTGCTCCAGGGTTCAGCTCAGCAGGCACAACGCCTCCCTTCGTTGCCAAAGCTTTTTGTGCTTTGTTGCTTGCTGCTGCATGGAGATGTGTGGGCAAACATTTGAAGAACTGAAGTGCACCGTGAGGAACAGGGCTTTTGTCATCTTGGGACACCCTGGGAAGGTGCAGTGTATGACTGAGGCATAGCAGCACTGCCTCTCTTTGAAGCTGCATGCAATTTTTTTCCCTAGCAGTGCTGTTTGCCATCACCAATTAATGCAATGTAGGAGGTTATGATACTCAAGACTGGAGAAAGACCCCCAGCTCCCCCGCAGCAGCCGTGGTGCTCAGCACAGCTCAGCTCTGCAGCACTGAGCACAGCCCTGCACAGCACTTCACACTTTGGAAAGGAAAAGAAGCCATGAAAATGCTATCTGCATAAACATTGCAACTTTTATTGTTCTTTCCACAGTTTTGGGAGAAACATTTCTAAATTATACAGTTATTCTCTCAAGAATTTGTGCCTTTTTTCCAATCTGACAGTGAGTCTTGTTTTGCTCATTTTGCTAAGATCAAAGAGAGAGTGTGTTTGCTATTTTCTGTGCGTGAAGGTAGTCGTGCACTGTCATCAAGACATTCTCAGATAAACTCAGCCAACCAGTTTTCTCTCTCCCTCTATGGCCTTTCACACTCTGCTAGCAATTTAGTAAGTTTTGAATCTCTTTTTGCATCTATCCCAATTATCCAGCTTCTCTCTCAACATCCAAATATCCAAATTGCATCAAAAATGCCCGTCTCATAGCTGAGACATACAGAAATACAATCACTGCCAGGGATAATTCAAAACAACGTGACCTTTGTCAGTTTTTCACCCTGGGACTGCACTGGGAGCACAGGTGCAGCTCTCATTCTCTGACTCTGAGCACAGAGATGTTCCCTGTGTTACTGTTTTCTCAGTAGCGATTTTAGGTATATTTTCAATGGTGATTTGGAAGCACTGAATTGTATCAGATCCCTGCAGAAGCCTCCTGTGAGCATCCCCATTTCACTGCAGTTCTCTTGCAAGGACCACTTCTGAAATGTGCCATTTTCACAGAACGCCAGGCTTTGCTGGGGGTCCAGCTACACCCAACCCACATTAATCCCAAAGAAAAAAGAGAAATAAAAGACAGGATGAAATAAGTGACTTTACACGATGCTCCTCCGTTAGTGTTCATTTCCTTTTTCATCCCTTTCCCAGGCTGACCAGCTAAGCAAGCACATACCCGGTCACCCCATGCTGTACGCCACCCTCATCAGCAGAGATGGCCTCAGACATCTCCCTTACAAGTACTGACAGAAGTTTTATAGGCTGAATTTGAAGATGTTAACTTTGAATGTTAAGCACTGCTAATGAATGACATCAGCTCTGCAGTTCTCCTAGCTCCTCACTAGCAGTTTCACCACCTGCATCCAGAAACAACCCTTATCTCCTGCCAAGATTTCCTCCGTACCTCAGCTCTTCACCCCCCCCTTATCCCCCCCAAGCACTCGAGCCCATACATTTTTCTTTTCCTTTGGCTATTGCTTTCCTTATTAATTTTCTACACTTCATAACTCTTATCCTTCGTGTTGACTGCTGTCAGTTTCCCTTTTTCTTGTTTTATATTACATCTATTTTCCCCCTCATTCATCACTGAAATAGGATGGGCTTTTTGCCAAAGTTGTTCTCTTCCTTAATTGCCAAACTGTTGAGGTTGGGCCATTTCCTACCTTTCTCATAGAAAACTGCCAGTTCTAATTCTGCTTGCCATCTAATTTCTTCTTCACCAGCAGATTTAATGCTGAATTTGCTGAGCTGTGCCCTTTGGAAGCACCACGTAGGTTCCCCGGCAGCTTGCAGGCCCTCGCCTGAATGCAGGGGGGATCCCCCAGGGAGCACCAACTCCTGGTGCTCCGATTCCTTTCTCCTCAGCCAGCACAACCAGGACAAAAGCAAATACCTTCATGCCCAACACTGTATAAAGTCAAGGACTTAACAAGCATCTGACTACTGAACTCTGTTTGGCTCTGAAGCACACACGTGCCTTCCTGCTGTAGCTGTGAAGAAAAAGCAAGCTGAGGGCTGTTTGTACCAGCTGGAAGTCAGTGACACAGCCACACGTGTCTCCAAAGCCTTGCTCTGAACTTCTAATACAGTTAAAATGATGAAAAGCACTACCTCCAAAAACAGAAGAAAAAAAGCAGCAGCACACTTCAAGCATTCTGCATACACTCAGTTGCTTCCTGCACTGCATCTGAGCATAAGTCTCACACATCCAGCCCCATCATTACTCAGATGCACGGCCTGTGATGCTCTGCTCCTGGGGCAGCACACTGATGTACAGCTGCCAACTCAGCCTTGGTCGGATCTGTTCAACAGTTCCATTAGCAGGAATGAACCTCTTGCAGCGATCCATCCTTTGCCCGTGTTTAAAATGCCCCACCATGTTTTCTAATTTGCCCCCAAAACGGAAACAACGCACAAAGTTTTAAAACACTTCTGGATAAATCATTACGATCTGATAACCGATCCACACTGAATCTAAAAGCCTCGTATTGACTATGAGCACACTGCACTGAGGCAGCAGGGGACAGAAAGGAGATGGCTGACTGCACCCGGACACCAGGAGCAAACTGATCAGCACGGCAGTGAAACCCAGCAGCTGCTGCTCCACCTGCAGCCCCACAGCACACAGCAGTCGGCCCTGACGTACGGGTGGGTTCCGTGTTGTGCCACGTTGATTCAGGTGACGCTTCAAAAACCACATTATACAGATCTTAAGAGGACTTCAGCTGATGCAGTGCCAGGCAGTGCTGTTGCTGGACACCCTCTGGTCAGCCACAGCCCAGTGCTGCAGTGGGCATCAGAGCCACCTCTCACTCCCTCCAAGCAGCCAAACCCGCAGCTCAGCTCTGTCATCTCCCAGCTCCTGACTTTGTACGGCCTTAATAAAGTCCTTCTGAATGTAGCTGTGTATGGATAATTACACGTGGGAGTTGTGCCAACCCAAACATGAGGGAGTTCAGAAGGCTCTTCTGGTCTTGCGAGTTTCTCCACTGAAGAAAAAAAATTGATTAAAAAAAAGAAAGTATGGCTAAACTGGGGACAGCACTTCCCTGCAGGCTGCTCCTCAGCTCTTTGTAGGCACTTCAAAAGCTTGAAAAAAAGTCACAGAATTCGGAACTTATTAAATGAGAATGAAGTGTACCAATGGAGAAATACAAACCGAAAAGCCAGATGTATGATGTCAACTTGTAATATGCAGGTTCAATTAATCTCTTAATTCATTTGTTTTCTTATCTTCTTTTGCTTTGCCATCTGGAAAAGGCCTTTCTCCCATGACACATTATAGGAGAAAGATCCAAGGTTCAAAATCTGCTTCAGGGAAATGCAGCCTTGTTTCTTTACTCACAGACTGGAGAGATTCATGCAGATGCTTCAGGACAAACCTGGGCCTGGACCAGGGAGAAAACATCTCTGTGGGAGCTTAGGACAGTTGTCAAACTTGTACTCTCCAAGGTAAAAATGTGAAAGCAGTTCTGTAAAAGGAAATGAAGCCACGGGAACAGCAGAGCCAATGATAGGTAAAAATGCATATCAGATCATGAAAGAGGCTTCTGAACAGCTCTCACTTGTGTTGTTTCAATGAAAAGCCTACATTTATCCAGTAAAAAAAATAAATTAAAAAAAATCAATCCATTGATAAAACAAATTTTACAGATAAGCAGATTTGAGTAGCAGAAACACAACTACTTTGTCCTCGGAAGCTCATCCAAACAAGAGGCAGCAGTGCAACGCTGTGTCCCTTCAGCACTGACAGCCATCAGCGAAGTGATTCAGAGCACGAGGCAGTGGGGGCAACACAGAAATCGCTGGTGGATGTGGGCAAAGGATCTGCACTGCCCTGCTTGAACAACAAACCCCTCTGTTTGTCTAACTGCCTCTGATGGCTCACAGCAGCACTGCAGCCCATTGTCAGCTCTTAATGGAGCGAACCTGCAGGAGCAGGCAGCCTCGCTCAGTAGTCACTTTTCTTTCTGGAATGCCCACACACTGATCTATGTATTTCCTCATCAGTAAATCAGACTTGTAGAAATGCTAGAAATTACAAGGAAGAGTAACATCCAGGTATGGCATGTAACTAATCCCAGTCCTACACAGTCACCTTTTTTCATATTTGTTTCTGAATAACAACACACAAAGAAACCCTGCACACACAGATGTGCACACTGCAACTCACCACCTGTCCTTTTTCAACCTGCTCACTTGAGGATCTGAGTAATGGGTGCTGACCCGTTTGCAAACAGAACTGAAAAGCAACTCTGAGCTGCTTCATGCTGCTCATGGTACTGCTGCACAGCACATGAGATCCAGGGGGCTGCTCCTATGTGCTCATCCATTGCAAACAGAGGGCTCTTTGGTTGTGCTTTTCCTCAGCTGCTTTAGATAGAAAACAGAACGTGAGATATGACATGATGGGACATAATGCAAAGCAAAGTAAGGACAGCGTGAAGAGCTCAGAATTCCACAGGTCACTACTGCACCCATGAATGAAGGAGGTGTTCCAATCAAACGATGAAAACAACACTTTTTTTTAAGGGGGATGACACAGAGAGAGCTTCTTGCATTTGGTGAGTGCAATGTCAAACACCATGACATCAGAGATCCCTTTTGTACCACATCACCATGTAAGTATACTGACTGCTAAGTCAAGGTTATAATAAGAATTGCAAGTTCACAAGTGCAGCAACTAGAAACCCTTTATGGTTTATTGGTGAGAAGAAAGTCTAGCAATTTGTAAAGTGAATTTCCAGCTTTATCCCACTAACAGCATTTCAGCAGAAAAGAAGTAACACGGAATACCATCACCAAGCTATCATAATCCTGTATTTTTAGAAAATTACATTATGATGCATCAGTCCCTCTCAGCATTACATACGCAGTATTAACTTAACTGGGCCCTGCGGCTACTCGACAAGAACCAGCACTGCGTGCCTGGCCTGCACACACCACTGCTGTGCATCCACACCGCACAGCTGCAGCGCACAGGGACGCCATCGCTCGCACCCGGAACGGTGCTGTAAGATGGGAGCAGCCAAGTGAAAAGAGCAGAAGTGGTTTTCTCATTCACTCCTCAGCACGCTTCGGCTCTGAGATGTTTCAGAACTGTTTGCAGAGGCACCCAAATTGCGCAGACAGCAGAGCCAGAGCTCCACAAGGAGAGCACTGCCAAAGCAGCCTCTGCTGGCTCTTAGAAAAACTAACAGTAAACGTATCTGAACAGAGCAGTAAGGACAATAAGTAATAACTTGTTTTCTACTACCGTGTATCAACTACAGTTTCCTAGCAGCTGCTGCTGTGGGAGGACACCAGATGATAGTGTTATCCATGAGCTCTACACTTCATGCCTAAGATACACAGTGCCCTCCAGAATATCCACCCCCTGTAATCCAAACAAAAGCTCTCCCAGCAGCAGCATCTAAAGGACGGTTTATAAAAGCTGGGTTATTTTTGCAGCATTTCCACAGACTGGCCTTTAGGAACTGCAAGAAAAAATACCTTCACTGTTCTTTCTGTTGCATATGAAAGAAGGGTCTGGCTAAAGGGCAGGTAACAAGGATTCTACTCAGCAGTCATTTAAATCCAGCAAAAGCAAAGCTACTGTCTAGGCTGTCATCAAAAACTGTTAGGAAAGACCTCGATTATTACTTGTTAAAGCTGCCAAAGATACAAAGTTAACTTAAGAGTCCTGATTAGGGCTGGAGGTGTGGGTCTGCCCCTCCTGCAGCTTTCTGGGTACATCCTCAGCTTGCTCAGTCCTGCACATCTCTCACTGTGCCTTGGTAAGGCATCGAGCAGCACACAGAACTCTTCTTTGTGGGACTTCTTTATAAACCTGAGCGCAAACCACAAAGACAAACTTGCTCACAATGACTGGAAGTTCCAAACCATCAGCGTGGGTGTGGAACAGTGCAAAGAGGATAGACGTTCTGTGGTTCTGTGACTTTCTGCTTCATTCAAAGCTGCTGTGCCAGCAGTGATTGCCAGCCATGTGGAACAGCTGCCTGGAGTGCTCTGACAGACACACTCACAAGAGATGATCAGCGTAAAGCTTTGATTCTCTGCCCTGAAAAGGTCTTTTTTTGTTTGTTTTTTTTTAAATACTTTTTGAGGCTGTTTTTTAGGGCTCTCAAAGCTAATGCTATATACTGTGAAGCAAATTAGGATTTCAGCTCCTCCAATAACATTTCTAGTGAAAGCAAGGTATACGCAGCCTCTTAAAGACACCGGGTAACTCAGCCTCCCTTCAGTGAAGAAATTTCTCAACACATTCTTTAAAGCCAACAATTACCTTTTTTTCCATTATTTACAACTCATGTTTCTGAAAAGGCCCTCTGAGCTGCTTCTGTAGAAGTCTGCACTCCTCTGCTCCTCTGTCTCATCCCTCAGCACACTCTGTCACACTGACCTCTGTGCTCTGCTCTCCTGGCACAGCGCTGCAGCCTCACTTCAGCTCTTTGTCCTTCCATCCTCAGCAGACAAGCAGGCAGTAACATTTTGAAGTAACAACCCTCTCCTTTCTGTCGCTACTTCCAGAGCTGTGCTCCTAAGGAGAAAACACCAAACAGTTTTTCATCCCCCCAAAGCCATTTTCTTGTTAAATCTCACATGAAGTTTCACTTTTTTGCACTTGAGAAACAAATGGAACAAATACCAAAGGCAATGATGGAGAAGAGCACAGCAGACAGCAGCTGCCCAAACACCCTTCCCAAGGAATCCCAGGAGCAAAAAAGGAATGGAAGAACGTTCTGAAGATGTTTCTTAACCTTGAATGGTGCTACAAAAACTTTGTCAGCAATTGTTTCTGGGCATAGGATCTAAGATTATACAAGGGCTCACTTGCTCAGAAGCTAGTTCATCTACTGAGGCCCAACACGTTACAGCACATGGAGTTTCTGAGTTTTGTAAGAAAATAAACAAAATTACCTTTGCTTCACGTTCAATATGTTAGGAAGCATCTTAACCAACGAATCCAACTAAACTGAGAAATGTGAAGTTCTGCAGCACCTCAGCATCAGCACGGCTCCTGTGAACAACGCACACAGCATCCCAGCAGAGGATGCTCAGAGTGGGGCTGCTCACAAGGACTGTAAAATGAGGCAGGGAAAAGTCCTCCTGAAACACGGCTACCGGTTTCCTTATGCTAGAAACAAGCTAAGTTGACAGATAATGCTGCTCCCTCCCCGCCAAAGCTATCAGAGCATGACAACAGTAACAAAAGAAACATTAATTTGGGGGCTTTATTTAATTTCTTTTTTTCTTCTTTTTTTTTTTTTTTTCTTTTTTTTAGATGCTACATCATCAAACAGGATTGGTCTTTTTACGGCATAGGACTAGTTTACTACTAATATTTTTTCCCCTAGATAGACTTATTTACATACAAAAACAGTTTCCTGACCACTGTTTTCCCAATGCTCAGATGATCAGAACTCCCAACAATTGCGTAGTGCCCAAAACTACAGGAGGCAGAAGAATCTTGCATCACTACAGCAGCAGATTTTTAGTTCTAGTCACTGGCTTTAGAACAGGTGCCTTTTCATACCATAAAGCATTAGTCAATTTTGTGACAGGAAGGAAACATGAGATGAAATACATTAAATAAGTTAAATATGCATTAAACATCTCTGAATAACATTTTAATTCAACTAAATGAACCAATAGCAATGCAGCTTGGTCCCTCCATAAGAACAAGGCATTGACTTCTACTCCCAACTAGCGCCACACCGGTCCATACTCGCCTCTTCATGATGCCTGGCACATTCAGCACTGCCACATACAACTCTTTCCAGCTCCTCACTATTCATTTAAGTGTCAAGAAATTGGTAACTTGCACAGAGTTGAAGACACTGACAGAAAAACTGTTAAATTTATGAGCAGAATGGTGGATTAACATATTTTACAGAAGTTATCAACACCTCCTGCCTAATCCAGCTCCAAACATCCAATAGGGCCAGCTCCAGCAGTGGAAGAATCTTTTGTTTTTTCTATTTTTCCTTTTTTTTTTTTTTTTTTTTTTTTTTTCCTTTTTTTTTTTTTAAAAAGAGGTCATCCAGCAACATGTACCAGGGACTAAGAATGTTTAAAATGACATATACAATATTCCATTGTAGTGTTAAATCATGATTTTCTTCCCCCTTCATCACTGAAGAATATTCTTTCATTCATTCCCTCATTGTACATTTTAAACTTTCTAGATTATGTTACATAATATTTGTGCAGGGGTAATTTAAAGGCAAGACCTGTGAGATGTCATACATTAATTTTTTTTTTAAACACTGTTATGAATAAATTTAATCCAATGATATGGCAGAACCATCAAACCAATTTACAATTTCCAGCATGCTGCCTCTACAAGGCTATTTTTCCTATAATTACACCAATGACAAAGAACAAAACCACCAAAGCAAGTAGTCTGGAGCTGTGCCCTTCATCCTTGACAACAGCTGCAGAAGCAGATATTGGGTTGTTCGTCTGGGGTGCCTTTCTCATCCGAAGTCCATCTTCTTCCTAAAGGAAGACAGATTAATTATTTCTCCTGAATTAATAACACATTTGTTTTACAGGTGTTTAAAGAATTTCTTCATGCACCAGCCAGCCACACAACATCAGAGCTGACAGAACAGAGTTGCT